GTTCTTTGTTGTGGAAGTATCTAATTTCCCCATTGATTTTGAAATATAATTTTGCAGGATACAACAGTCTAGGTTGAGGAGAAACTTCTAATGATCTTGTTAGCTTGCATTTGATATTTAAGAACATCATGCTGTTAACTCTTTTCCATAACTCTTATTATAACAATACTTTTAACACTTGACATTTCCCTCTTGAGTAAAAAAATAGCTATTATGTTAGTATTTATTTGTTATATTTATCAATGGCCCTTTAATTGGGGTACCTTGAAAATCTTTGCCAATTTGTCAGGATTGCTACCTAATCAAACCTTCCAAATACAGATGTTTAAAGATTAACAGTTAACTTTATAAAATAGAAAACTTGAATCTTGAATTCTGGTCCAAAATTGAGAAAGAGAATTTACCTTGGGAAAAACTGATGCTTTCTGTAGCTTAAAAGTCGAGCCTTTGGCTGGCCATAGTGTTACACACCTATAATCCCAGAACACTGAGAGGCTGAGGCAGGATCATAAGTTAGAGCCCCAGCTTGGGCTATATAGTGACTTAGTGAGATCCTATCTCTAAATAAAAATAAAATAAAGGACTGGCAATATAGCTCAATGCCAAGGCCCTGAGTTCAATCCCTAGTACCCCCCACCAAATCCAGCCCTTGGTTGCTTATTAACTATAGATAGAGAAATGAAGCCTAAGGAATAAGGCAGAAAAAGAACAAATTACCACTAGATTTCTGGGATAACCAAAAAATGTTCCTCCTAGGCGAGTCCATGTTCAGGTAAAGCAGACTAACTGCTATAGCAACTCAAGATCCCAGGGCTTTAATCCAGTAGAGGTCTGTTTCCTGCCCAGTCCTTCTTGGACCCTGAACATCACTACAAGTTTTGAGAGTTGAGTCAAGGCCTTGGCCATTCTCAGGTTATACCTGCTGTCAGCCTTGAAAGATTAGACAGATGAGCAAAGCACAAGCTTGCTTCTGCTTACTATAAAAACAGTAGATCCCTTCAAATTTCTTCTCCCATAATTCAACCGTTACATTTCTCATGGACCCTGTGTTGCCTTAATGGGACTTGGGAGACAAGAGGAACAGATACAAACCAACACGTAGCTCTGGCTACTGCTTTTCTCTTGAATAATAAGGTCCTTCCTCTCTTCACTGACAGTCATGTCTTCTGCCAGGACCATTGAAAAAGGAATAGCCTAATTTATTAGCTTGTGAGTAGGATAAACTCTCAGGCACAATTCCTACCTGGTGAAGGGTTGGGCTCTGCTTCACATAATCATCTGGGGATCCGAGGATATTCCATGTAGTGGCACTTTCTGCCAAAAAGTCCTTTCCTGGATCTTCATCTAAGTGGCAGATGAGGGAGGGTCTGACAGGGACTGTATAGGAGGTTCCAGGACCAGGCCTGGAAGTGTGTGCTGCACTTCCGTCCACATTTCACTGGCTAGAATGAAGCCATCTGGCCCCACCTCAGGACTGGGGAGCCTGAGAAATGTAATTTAACTGTGTTCCCAGCAGACTAAGAAACAGGGTATGGAAAAGATATAGCAATGTCCTTGCCACAGTACAGGATGCTGAAATAATCAGTAAAGTGCCAAATTCATTTTGGAATTGGAATTTACTCATCAGAAGCTAATGCTTAGACCAAATAAGATTAAGAAACACACCTGGAGTTTTGTTTTTCTGTAACGAAATCAATTTTCTACAGATGAGGAAAAAAGAGGTAAGAAAGATGATGTGGCATTCTTTAGTCTTCTGGAAATTAAATAAGTCCTCATTTTGACCTGAAGCTCCTTATCATGGTAATGGCTAAAAGCAGAGAGGGGGATTAAACTTACCAGTTAAAGAAGGTTTAGGATCTTTTAAAAGTCTGTTCTGGCTTGACTGCAATTATTTCAAGTAACTGCTCAAACATTCAGGTGTTTCCTGTATCACAAGAAAATGGAGTCTGGGTGTTTGCTGAGGAGAAAAGAATCCTGGAGTCTGAAGCTCTAATGACGAGTCCTTCCCTGACCATGGTGAGGCTGTTGGCTTACCTGAGCATCTTTCTGGGTGTCTTTCTGGCATTTGCCTTAGAAGCCCACCGGAAGTGGAACTAGTGTCCTTTCCTCTTGCCTGACCAGATCATTGTGCTGATTGGCCTTAGTTGAGTGGAAGAGGAACTAATTTTGACCCTCTCCTCTGTCAACAGGCCCCTCAACCATTGTGACCTGTCACCAGGAAGGTGCCTTGTGGGTTATTCTGCTTCTCCATGGAAACATGGAGTCCCAGGCTATACCCAGGAGAATCAGGCAAGTCCCACCTCTCCCATATTCCTGAACTGTTTCTGGTTTTATTGCTGCTGTGGGGCTTTAAAAAACTGCAATAAAGTATATATGATGTAAAATTTAACATCTTAATCATATGTAAATGTATGGTTCAGAGGTGTTAACTATATTTATAATGTTGAGCAATCCATTTTGAAAACATATTTTTATTTTTGACTTTGAGGAACAGTAAGAAGCCACATGGTGCCAGAACAGGTGAACAAGGTGAATAGAGACACATCATAATCTTTTTATGAGCCTGCCTTTTCCATAGATGGCCCACAACAGCTGCATTCACCTCATTTTTTGAAAAATCACATCCCATAAAGACACAAAAGAACTTCTAGAATGGCTTCAGAAGGTAGCAAGAATGATGGGACAAGTCTTTTCAAAGTGAGAGGGAATTCTGAGGAGGATTAATGGCAATATGTCTTTTACTGTAATAAATTTTTAAAATGTAAATATTCATATATTTTGATCATCCTTTGTATATGTTTTGTTTTCTATCTTTCCTACTATGATAATGTTTCATTTGTAAATTAAGCACAGTAAGGAGCAACAACAATAACTAATAACAAATTAACTAATTGAACACTTGCCTTGGATGGTATTTTTTCACCTTAATCAACTGCTTCAACTCGCTGGAAATGTTACTGCAGTTTCTTCTTTGGTGGATACAACCTCTCTCCTAATTCTTGTACTTTTCCACCTAAAGCTATCCCTGAATCTGTGAAATCATCCCTTACTTGATTCAAGTGGCATGGTGTCACCTGATTTCAGTAATCCTTATTCAAGTCTTCATACAAGCTTAGTGCTTTCTGGTGTAACACATTGCCATCAGTTGGAACACATTTTCTCTTCGTGTCTTCCATGCACAAATGTAATGCCTCTTATATATTATCTGAACACTTATCATGTACTTTAGCCATAACTTCTGCAGTTTCAGGTGTGATGGCAAAACTAGCACCAATTTATTTTTCCTTCACAATTTCACAAATAGATTTGTTGTCATCACAGATCTTTCAAGCTCAGCATACAATTTCTCCCCCCAGGGCTGGGCTTTCAGCTCAGTGGTAAAGTGCCAATCTAGTATTATATAAGGGCTTGCCCATCACTGAAAAAAACAACAAGCAAAATAGAAACAAACCACCTTAAGACAAGAAATTTCTTTCTTTTTTTTTTTTTGCTTAAAGAAAGCACTTTACTTCTTTTCTTGGGCATACCTGAATCACCAGACACACTATCTTGCATTCAGGAGTCATTATTAAGTAAAACAAGGGTTATTTGAACACCAGCACTTCAATACCAGGCTGCATGACAACCAAGACAATTTCTAAGGGACTCAGCAGAAGGTAGTGGATACACTGTGGATACACTGGACACCGAGACAATTCATGACCCAGTAAAGATGGAGTGAGATTTCATCATATTGCTTGGGAAGGTGAACAATTTAAAATATGAATTATTTCTGAAATATTACATTTAACAGTTTTGGAGTATTGTCGGGTATGGTTAACAAACCATGGAAAGTAAAATCACAGATAAGCAGGACAACTGTATATAATTTTGTAACTAGTCTTTTCCATTTTGTAGGTTGCCTTTTATTTGGCTGATGGTATCCTTTGCACATCTGGTAGTTTTTAATGCCTCACACCCAGATCTGACCTGAAGTGGAGAGGAAAAAAGTCAAAGAATGGACCACATCCTCTTTTTTCTTTCTTTTTCTACACTTGGCCACAAATATCTCTCATTCTTCACTAGCAAACAGTGGCATCTTATATCACAGCCTGTATTTTCTCTCTTCCCATGGCCTCTAGTAAAATTCAAAGTTCAGACTTTCACACTTTCAGAATTTTGGAAATGTAGAAAATTTTTCTCTCAACAAACCTTGCCCCTCAAGAGCTCATTTAACAAGAGTCTTAAATAGTTGACAAGAGCCATAGTTGGTTTGTCCTTCATTTGAATCTCTGAAGCCCCTGGATTCATTAGCTGGAAAGCCCCAGGATATCATGATCAAAGGAAAGAATATGCATCACTGTACAGTTGCAAAGGCAAATCTGTTAGACTCTCAGCCCTAAAGAAAAACCACTAAAAATATTGATAATGTTTCCATTACATAGACATTCTTCAAATACCACATGTAACAAATATTGCCTTGTGATTCTAGAAGATCTCTTAATTTTTCACTCAGGGATGATGTAACACCTTGGGTGACATTCAAATCAAATTTTTCTTCCAGTAATTAAATCTTTGGGCCTTCTCCCCAGATAAGTATAGAGCAATACTCATTGTCCTTGAACCACACTGAGAACTTCAATGTGGCTATTTTATGTTTTTCTTTTAAAACAGAGTCTTTGTCTTATTTGAATTTTAATTTGCTTTTGTTCATAATACAATTAAAAGGGAAGCTTTTTTTGCTTACAGGTAGACTTTTTTCTTCCTGGTGAGTACTAAGTTTCTTGACACAAGAAATAGTAATATATTGAGACCTCCAGATTGGTAGAGGCTTCCAGGTAGGTGTGCTGGGGCTCCCAGCATAGAGGAAGCTTCCAGGTAGGTGTGCCATGGTTCCGAGCACAGAGGAGGTGAGCCACATGGCCACCAGGAACACACCACCACCACCCACCCCATGTCAAAATGAGAAGACAGGTAAACAAGCCACAGAACTAGACTTCCAGATCACCTACAGCAACCCCAAAGGGAAACAAGATGGAACAATCTGATACTCAACCACCTGGACTCCCTGAACTAGCAACGAAAGAGGATCTGGAAAAAATGAAATCAGAAATAATTTCTCACATAACAGCAGAGATTGTTCCCATAG